GTCTTGACTTTCTAAACATTGCCGCCGTTATGGGGCCATAAATTATCCTTAAAATAGCATTTTGTCTAAAGCCTTTTTCGGATATAATCGCTGATATGAAACGACCACGTTACTTGTCACTCAAAACAAATGCTTTTCATATTTTCTGCTTTTATTGTTGGGCGACAAAATAAAATCCCAAACTAATTTTTACTGTCATTATTCACACAATGCGCTGAAATCAAGACCCTAGACAAAGGGAGTGTGTGGATATTTATGGAGCTGCCGTTGACACATCTTTTGGGACCGGAAAAATTACAACCTCCCTAACAGTAAAAAATCAAAAATTGAGAAATTTATTATGCAAAAATGGTTGAGACAGGGAGAAATATTTCGTTGGAAATACATAAGCCACTATTTTTTTTTTATTGAAACAGCATAAATCACCATAATCAATCAATGGGATAAAAATTCATATTCACTATTAAATTTAATTTAGCTTGCCGTTAAAAACAAACATTCGAACTATATATAAATATATGTCTGAGACTTCAAATATACTTTTTTTAGTAGTATTCAAAATTAAATTTCAATAGGTATATTTAATGTAAATTGTACTATATGTGTGTAGTTAATAAAAAGAAGATGTTATTGTAAATTTGTACAACAAATAAATATTATAAGTACTTAAAATCGAAGGAGAGAATACAAATGCAAAAAACCCTTTCCATTGGTTTTAAAAATATACCTTTAAGTAAAAAAATTTCTAATAAATTTAAAACATCTCTTCCAGACTCCCTTTTTTCTATCAATTTATTACCCTCACTCGTTTCATCTTTTTATGTGCTGAAGCTAGAGTCATAAATTGCAAAATTTGTATAGGAAAATATGTAGACCAATGGCCTTGACAGGCCAAAAACACCCACTCCACCCTTTGGCCCTAAAATCGGTGTGTGGTTCTTTCGAGTTGGTCAACTACTGCTAATTATGGCCATTATTTATGCGCTTGTTTTTGAAATTTGTCAATTTCCGCAGTAATTTGCGACTAATTTTTTTTACTAGCCAACCAAATTGGAAGCACCAAAGCCGCAAAAAGCAATTACAGAAAGAGATGGAGAAGGATGTGGATGTGGTTTCTGATTGTTTTGTTAGGGTTTGTCCTTCATCGATTTCTTTTGGCTATTAAAATGAATATGAATCTGTTTGGAGCCTCGTGAAGTATATATTTGTTTGAGATTGTCTGAAAAAACCATTAATTTCGACTAACGACTGCAAAAAATCAATTACTCCCACAAGAACTGAACCCTGCCCTTTGCGCCGCGTACTAATTCCGGTGTCCTTGGTCCTTGGCCAGGCTCATTAGAATGGCTTATCACCAGCCAAGTGATGAATGTCGAAACTTTGGCGCAAAACCAACAAATTGTGAGACACATTTTCCGGCAAATCGAGGGGGAAAAAGGCGAGTGGAAAGCTTTTAAGAACGCCGCCCTCGCTTCACTGTCAGCGATTTTTCATCCTAACAGCTTCGCATTCATCTGTAAATATGCCTTCTATATATATCCTGGTACATCCTGGTATATATAGATACAAGTGTATCCTTCTGCAACATGAAAACTCAATTTCGTTTCGGCTTTCCTTGCATCGTGTTCCTTATTGCATTTGCATGCCACACAAAAAGGAAAAAGCATAAATAATTAAATAAATTAGAAGCATCGGTGGCTGGAAAAGCCTCTTCTTGGCTTAAGGATTTTCCCAGGCAACTAAGGCAACTTTTCCAGCTTATTTTTGCATGACACAATTTCAGAGCAATTTCAAGACATTTTCCGGCTTGGCTTAAAACTCATTGAAGCCTTTAAGTTTTTGGGTTAATCGTTGAAATGAAAACTTTCTTAAGGCGAACTATGGAGATTACTTCATACACAGAGAACAAGAATTTTTATAAATGCTTTTAAGGCAAAAAAAAAAAATGTTTATATTTTTAAAGTTATGTTTAATAGATTAACTACTTTAAAATTTATGGTTAATTTAAGACAGGTGTTCATTGTTCGTGTGGCGGCAGAGAATGGGCAGTGAAATCAACTATGCTTACAGCAGATAAAGATGCCAACCACTGATTTAATAATAATAATATAATAGTTTTAAGGCTTAGACTTCAAAACAAGTTTAAATTTCTAGAGCTCCACTTGAGGTAATATGTGTTGTTTGAATATTTGGTTATATGTAGGTAAATATATATATCTGCGAAAATATTCAGTATTACGAGACCTACATTTTCTGCACCCCAAAGTCCGACTTTTATTTACGTGACTTTCAATTGAATGCGGGAATCGAGAAGAGGGGAAAGTTGAGGAGGTAGTTTTCCTGCCACGAGGAGAGCATTTCTTGGCATTCATTTCATTTGCTCGGGCCTTCATCATTCTTCCACCAACAGAAGGGAAAAGGAGGCGCCCCAGCGATTGGGGGCGTGGCCAGCCCATAAATTCCACGTGAGCGTGTGGTGCAGTGGGTCTTCGGTGGGATCCGCCATCGTAAATGTAGACATTCGGTGGCTGGATGGCTCAAAAAAGGGTTTTATGGAGTCCTTAGCCGGGCTTTAGCGAAATGCCGCGGCATATGCATTAAAGATTTTTATTGTTAGAATAAACGTACTTATATAAAAGTATCCAGCATATTTCTTTATGGGTTTTTTTGGTTTCCGCATAAATCAGAGCGTGAAGATTGAGGGCCGCAAAGTGGATTAGGGTAGGGAAACGAGAAGAAATTGTGAAGAGAGTTGCTTAAGCTACTTAAGTGCTTAATAGGGCATGAAATCGACGAAGAAGAATGTCCAAAGAAAAATCGCAAGATGCCAAGACAAATAAACAAAGGAACAGTAGAGTTATGGCTTAGCAATTTTAGCCTTACCAACCAAATTAAGGAACAAATAGCTTAAAATCTTTAGTGAAAACAAATATATTTAAACCAAACCACTTTAAAATATTTGTAAGTTTGGTAAAAGTTATTTATTAAGCAGTTTTTGTTTAATCTACAGACATTCATTTATTTCTTCAAGTACTTTTAAGCGCAGCTTCAAATAGTTCCTCCCCCATTTGTTTACTTTAATCTATGGCTTTTAGTTTACATTTGATGCATTGAATAGCTTACGATTGCTCTTATTCCATCTGATCCGTAAATCCTCTTGCATTTGGCCGCCAGCCACTAAACAAAATTTATCCCCCATTGAGATTTAATCCGACTTGCCATCAAATACGACTGACAGCAGCCTTTGGCTGCCCAGCTGTAACTATACTATATATAGAGATGCCCACTAGGATAATACATATATATCTCTGCCTCCTGAGTCAGCTGTAATGAGCTTGACCTTAGCCCTGCCTGGGGCCGTGTCTTTTGCCTGTCAGCGACAATCGCTGCCAAAAGATTCAATTCATTTTCTGACCTCTGCTCCAAAAGTCCAAGGCCAAGACGGGGTAAGCCAAATAAAAGGAAAAACTTATCAATTGCCGAAGTTGGCCAATGGAACAACTGCTACTGCAGTGGCAGCCGCAAATTGCCACGTGGATGTCGGCAGAGTCATAAATTTTGATAAATGAAGTGCTCTGCCATGTCGCCAGCTACTTATCAGCGTTGTCATTGTCCAGGTGGCTGTTGTCCTCCTCCGAATCCCCGGAATTCCCACCCCCACACGGGGTTCCACCATTTGGCAGACTTCCAATGACTGTTGCTCGTGTTCAGGGCTTAAAATCTACTCTGACCAAAGGGTTGCTAAGCTGTTTAGGGGAATCTCCTTAGAGCTTAAAAAAATATCGTTGTCAGTATCAATGTTATCGAGTGATAAACAGAATTTAAATTTTCGGGGTATTCCCTAAACGGTGTAATTGCTGAATGGTTGAAAATTCAACGAAAGTTCCAGCAATTGAGGGAACGACCCTAAATGGATCCTGTTGTTTAAAAAAATCTAATTATTTATGTTTTATTAAAAGCAAATCAATAGCTTCGAGGTTGTTGAATTGCTGAAAATGTATTTTTATTCTTTAACATTTTTTTTTCAACAATTCAGAAATTTAACCTTTTAGGAAATACCCCATCTGTTTTCCTAGAAAACATCGATATTATCGATATGATATATTGAAAATATCGAAAATATCGATACAGTAAAATATCGACATTTTTCAAGCTCTAACTCTCCTACGTTTCCACAAGGGCATTCGAGTTCCACTCGGATTCTTCCATCTAGTTGGCTTTTCAATTTACTGTTTGTTAGCTTTTCGCAATTTCGCATTGTTATGCGGTGCTATTTGTACTCTTACTTCTTCGTTCTCACCGTTTTATTTTTTTTTTGTATTTCTTTTTTCCTGCCCCACAAATGCTGCTCATGCATATGCAACAGCTTCTGAAAAACGCTGCATAAATCATACGCAGCGTTGGCCGCTGAGCGAAAGGATATTTTCTGTTGCCTACTTTGTGCCGGGGAAGGACTTTCATATTGACTTTTTCTAGCCGGCTGGGCAAATATTAATTAACCATCCAGAGGCCCTCTATTAAATTCGAGCCACAAACCCGTTCAGTGGGTCAGATTAACGACATGTATCCATATATCCATCGCCCAAGTCTCAAGTCTTGTACTTTGTGGGTCACTTTGAGCATAATTATAATTACGAGCAAGTGTGCTTACAACATTTTCCAGTTTGCTGCAGTTGCTCGGTTGGGGTTTTTGTTATAGTTGTGGCCTCAACTCGGCTCTGGGTGTTCAGCTTTTCTTGCTGGCGATGGGACCATAAATTTTAAATTAAGTTGCACTGCCGTCGGCGGGCTTTGTTTGTTGCTTCTGGGTGGCATTACTTTATTTGCAATATACGACAGCGTTGACAGCTGCAAAATCTGAAACTGGCGCTCGCCTAATTGTGAGCGATGAGAATGGGATATTTACTATGGCTACCGGAAGCGTATGAGATTTCAAAGGCATTATGGGTAATCAAAAGAAATGTATGTCAGGAGTTTCCAAAGACTTTATAAACATTACCCTACAACTTTTGTAGGTTTCAAAATTTGCCAAGTCTATAACTCATAGAGTTTTATTTCCTGTAAATCTCCTAATACACACATTTCTGGCTAAGTAAAAATGGATTTTACAAAAACGTCCAGCGTTGAGGAAACCGAAAACACTGAGAACAGTGGTCATGCAAAAAACTTGCACGAAAACGTGTCCAAATTCTATGATACCATAGGAACTATCTCAAGAAACATTCGGAAGGACGACTGGTCATACTTGCAACGCCATCCAGAGATACGTGCCATAATTCGAGTCATTACCACCGAGGCGATCAAGGCTGAGCCATCGAATATTTATGATTTCACGGCTAATTTATTCACTCCCGATAGAGACGAGGAGATGGTAGAAAAGGTATATATTTATTCCTCAACCAAAAATGTAATCAAGCTTAAATTTAAATTCCTTCAAGATAAACAAGCAACTTAAGTGGCTCAATGAGCAGTTGAGAGGAGGTACCTGGAATCCGGCAGATGGAGATACTCCGTTTTCTGAATCTAGCGAATCTTCTTCGGAAAATAACTGTCCTACCGATTTAAATACTGCTGAGAAACTAGATGTGGCCGAAAGGCTGGTGTGTCCTGAAAATTACAAGCCTAATTGCAAGAAATGTTGAGGAACACGAATTTTTTGTTGGGAATTTTTCAAAATATTTTGTGTTAAAAAATGTACATAGCCGCGATGTCCAAAAAATTATATGTGAACTAAAAAAAAGTTGCCACATTCAAATTACGTATCTTTTTTAAGAGTCCTTTGGGTTTACTTACGGTCAACATTCGAATTATATAGTTTAATTGAAGTGTAAATTTAATATATGTGTGTCATTGTACAAATTTCGAGACGAAAGTACCTGCAACATGCAAAAGTGAGGCCAAATTTTGTAAAGAAAAGTATTTATTCGTTCGACTAAAGAAATGCGCTTTGAAATGTTTTTTTACTTTTTCTTAGGATACTTTGTCAGAATTTTGGGAGTATTAAGAAATATTTTTACCCTATTTGTCTAATTGTCTAATTTATAGTAATACATTGTTATCTTGAATAACAGGTGGTACATTCATCCAAATACATCCCATCGACTTCCTTGTTTTAGATTTACTTCTCTCCCAATTGCGATGCATTCTATTTCGGTTGCATGCAAATCTAATTCTGAGATCTATAATAAAAACTCTTAAGCTCGCTGGGGTCTTTCCTCTGTATCGCGTTGTTTGCAATCAGCGCTGACAAATTGCCAATCGATTTTGATGCGCCAGACAGCGGCGTCGGCCCCTGTCAAACGTTCCCCCAGCTCCGCAGCCCTTTTCCTCAGCGTTTCTTTAAAATCGAAAAATTTCTGTTTGCGTTTTGATGATTGCCGAAGACAATGAAATGACAATCAAAGTCACGTGCCGCCCAACGCCAGCTGCAAAAAAAAACTTGCATGCAAATTTGTGCGAAAGAGGAAAATGAAACTTGGGGGGAAAGGGACGATCGAGGGGGGGAAGGGTGTAAAATTCCAAGGTGAAAATAAGTATCATTCGAGAATGATTCGTTTTGATTGCCAGGGACAAATGCTTCGATGGCAGCCCTCTTTCGGAATTCAAAAATTCAGAGCCCTTCGAAAGAACTACAACAATTGCATGCCAACATCGTGTCTCCACACGCTCATTAGCCCATTAATGCCAAATGCTTACACAAGACGTTTTCCCAGACCTCTGCTCTTGTTCTTATATACAATGGGGGATTAACCCTCTAACAGCCGTTTTGGTATATGCCTTTAGATGCATTTAAAGCAAACGATTGGGGTGCTTAATGCATGGAAATTCTTTTTTATTACACACTTTATTTCTCCCAATGATCTGAAATATATTAAAATCTTGAGAATGAATATTTTGCTAAGCTCTAGAAACCTTAGGGTATACATTTCCTAAAATACAATAAAACTTTCTTACAAATAAAGATGGATATATTTAAACAAAATATTTTAATTAAAATCTTTTTATTATTGAATACTCAAAAAGACAATTTTTATTTTAAGGAAGGTGTTAAAACACATATTTTAATTTTAATAAAAGTATAATTGTTAATTTAAGCCTTTATTAAATATATGTGTGAACAGTGTTCACTGAACAGCCTTAAAGATATTTTTAATAGAGATATTGGAGACAAAAGAGATAATTGTTAAAACCCTTTACTTTAAAGTACCCTAAAATTTCAGTAACCTCAGGAATTATACAAGAATTGTGTAACTTCTTGAAGACTTCACCACATACAAAAGTTAAGAGATTGAATTCAATAAAGACCTGTACAACGTTCAGTTGCACTGGGCTGCCTCAGGTGTTAGAGGGTTAATCGGATGACCCCGGGACTCACCTTTGTTGCCGGGTCCGTTGGCCGTTTGCAGCGAGGACATCGGGATGGCCAGGCAGTTGCGCGGCGGCGGCGGAACGGCGAGTGCCAGATCCTGCGGCGGTTCGGAGCGCGGACACGGCGTATACGCAATCTTGCTGCCACGACCGGGCGTTGGACTTACCCGTGCATGCCGCCCCCCCGTCACCGCTCCCCCGCTGCCCCGATCGCTCATCTTCCGCTGGTCACTGCCGCTCACTCTGCTCACTGGAAAACTAAATGCATTTTCTTTTGTGCACCAGTGCAGCCTTGGTTGCCTTGTTTTCCGGGGCTTAGGGCATCTCTCTCGTCTCTATTCCGGCTATTGTGCGTCAATATCCAGGCACTTTATGCTAATGCTAATGCACGGATTCCAAATGTCTTGGGGTTATATATAGAGGCTTTTATTCCGCCCGCCCCCTTTCACTGCATTCAATTGGCTTTCAGGTGGGCGAGTAGGGTGAGGATGATGGGGGAATGATGACCGTGAGCAAGGCTAAGGATGCGGCAAGGACGCACTGGCGACGACGAATCGAAACTTGAAGCGAGTCCACAACTTCACGTGCCACTGCAGCAACAACAACGACAGCAGCAGCAGCAGCACACGAGACACATCCAACGAAAAATCGCAACCGATATCGGAAAAGTGCGACCGCACCGACTTGCACCGCTCGATGTCCTGCTGCCGACTGAGTGGAAAAGCGGAAAAGTGGAAAGTGGCCAGTGGCAGGAGGAAAGCGACAGCTTCTCGTGCGGGCAAGCATAAAAATAACACGATGCCAAAATGCCGACGACAAACAGCAGCAGCAGCAGTAGAAGAAGCAGCAGAAGCAGCAGCAGCAGCTACAACGACAACGACAAAGGCCGAAGCGCAGCGAAATCAAAACAAACAAAATACAACGCGGCATACGGCAGACCTCGTGCGAAGCCCAATAGGCCACCCCCTTGAAAAACAAGTAACCCCTTGTGCCACCCATTTACCTCCCAACTCCCACCGCAGATGTGTACTTTCTCTCCGCGGGAGCATCTTCTTTGTCGTCGAGCTGCATTGAGAGAGCTTTTCACTTCCTGCTGGCGTAAAGCTCGCGACCTTGGGCTTTTTTCATTCACAAAAATATTTGGGGAGGGTTGCCAGATCGAAAAAAGAAAATACCAGGGCATAGCAGGCGTATGAGTAATATTCGTAGGGATTTTTTAAGGATTCTACATGGCCAAGTATAACAGCTAAGTGGTCTTTGTTAAGTGATTTTCTTATTATTTTATAAAAATTATATCTTTGAAATACATTCTTACCTTTATCACATACGTTTAGACGGAATTAAAACAGAAGATCGAAAGGATTAGTTAGTCTTTCATTACTGATTTTTCTTTTCACATAAATATTATCTTCAGAATACATTGTTATACAAATTCAAAATAAACAAATATAAATACCTTTAAATGTACATATGCAACAAATACTTTTTTTTAGGCATTTTGTAACCCATGTACCGTATGAGTAGTATTTTTCAAAAATGAGTTTTGCGTTCTAGGAAAATTCATATACTAAGATTTTATACTTTCCTTGGTAATGTAACTATTATACATGTAGAAAATACAAATTAAATTCTAACATTCTTTAATAATACTTGATGTACTTTACTTTATTCGTAAAATGACCAAGCCATCAAAAAGCCTTAATCCCAGCAAGGACACTTTGAACTTTCAGGACTTCAAAGTTACTTAAGGTTATGAAAATCTAAGGAAGCTTTTTTATCCCACCTTATGGGTAAAAGCTCAATTTGACCTGGTGACATATAATGTTACTAACCACATTTCTGAAATCTAACTTATACCTTACCAACACCTGTAATGCGAGAATAAATAACACACACCATTTAAATTGTATATTCTGTTTTTGTCTTTATTTAGTTTTTTTTTTTGCCTGTTAAGTAGAATAGAATTATTAAAATTGTTTTATATTCGATTCGCTTTTGTCTGGTTTTGTTTTTCCGATTACACAGATTTACGTGTTAGTTAATGGAATTAGTTTTGCATTTGATTTTATATTTGCTATGCAGATTTGTTTGGGTAGTGGCAATACCCTAATACTTGTCACCTTGCCCACCGGATTGTTCTATTTAATCATGTCTCAAGGTTGGTTGGTATAAACAGTTTTATAGTTTGCCTCTTGGAAATTCATATTCGATAAGTTTAATTACAATTTAGAGCTTAGAAGTTACAGTTCATATATAGAGTCAGTTGTTTTGTCCTATGGATGAAATTTCGTTACTGGTTTTGATTAGGTGATCTTGCTTTGCTATAGTTATGCCTGCTGCCGCATAGTTGCACTCTCTTCTTTTATTTTGGTAGGTAAAGCTTTGGATATTTCGTATTTCGATATATAATGTTTAACATTTCGCTTGCTTAAAATTAGAACATTTTGGTATATTCCTCAAATCTGAATCTGAATCGATGTATCAGAGCGCTGTAGCTGTAGCTCGAGTAATGCATACAATCCGCAGTACACAACAAATGTGTTTTGCAAAAAACCGGAAAATGTGTTCAGTGTATGTGTATATGTGTGGGAGTATAGGTGTACTGAAAGATCAAACAACTAGTTGTATACTTTTCGGCTGTGAAAGATAGTGGTACTTCAATGAATTCAAGAGAACAATAATCTAAATTAGTCTTCTAAAATATATACAACTTTTTTCCCGATAGATACAAATTCAATACGAACTAAATGTGTAAAAAAAAACTTTACCAGCTTTAATTATCACTTAACTTTATACATATATTTATTTTCTAGGCGCAATAAGTTCTAATCAATATCATATAATATCCGTATATACCATTTATAATTTGAGTTCATTCAAGGCCTACGTTTGCATTTTACGCTTTTAATCTATGACAAGACTAACATCCATATTTTAAGTACCGAAATATTCGTTCATTCGAAGAAAATATGTGTATGGGCTACATTATTACTTGTGGCAATCGGTTATTCTCATAGACATTCAGTGCAGTTCCGAATCAAATTGAGGAGAGTGAGTGCAGGAACGGGCCTTCTACTTGCCTGGCTTATAGGTACACATGGTTATGGTATATTGGACATCAAGAATAACTTGCACATTCGCTATACATATATTTTTAGGCTTTCTCCATTACGATGAAATCTCTTAATAGGTGGTTTTAGTGCATACATTCAATGTATAACTTGTTAAATTCTTATCGGATTATAGTGTGGGGGCATATATCTCTCAAATCGGGAAGCTTCCGTTTCCGGTTCCAGTTGTCGTTGGCTGGCCGCAGTTCAACCAATGGAATCCCTGGCAATCCGCTGGCCGTACTTAATCTATAAATCAACTTGACTCGTGGAGCTCATGGATCTCAAGTGAAGATCCAATACAGTGGATAGCATATCCTTGGGGGCCGAAATGGAGCGGTATCTATCTGGAGATGATTGAGCGGGGTGTGTCTGTGAGAATGTAAGCCAATCCAGAAAATTGTTAAAAAAGAAAACGACAATTTTGGTTTTTGTTTCGAGGTTTTTAAAATGTTTGTGTATTTTTTTCAAAGAAATTTCTGTATGTTCTTGTTGGTTTCGCTTGTTAATGCTCATAGTTTTTCTCATCGGTTGTTGCAATTTTTACAATATTCGTAAATATAACTTGTATATAGCTTTATTTATATGTATATATATATGTCTGCATATATAGATAGAGGCGCGAGTTCTTTGTTTTGTTTCTTTGCCTGTCCAAATATTGTAATTTGCTAAACACTTTTAGCATATTTTAACAAGTTTGTTTTTTTTTGGTTTTTGCTTTCCATTTCTTTGACTGCCTTCTGCTTTGCAAACGAAGATAAATATTTATGCAAGTTTTGATTTGGAAATCGAGAAACTCAGTGAATCCAGCCTTCAATGCCACAACTGACGCACTTCAGCAACCCATTTGAATTGGAAATGCTCTGTATCGTTTGACATTCTAGAAACTGGAAAATTTTGAGAGCCTACTTTCGAGGGAAAGTGACCGCTCAAAAAGTTTACATTGTCAGTTAGATTTTACTATTTTGTTTAGACTTAGAAAAATTCGTCTGTCATTTGATTAGAGTTTAATTTTGCCTGCAATTCATTTAGGTTTCAATATAGGTTCATTTCTTTAAAACATTGCACAAATTTCGCTACAAAATGTTTTCTTCTTTTTATTTTGTTTGTTAAAAAAAGTTATAGAAAAGTGTTTTTTTTGTTCTTGATTTTAATGTTTTTTTTTTCATTAGCGCAAATGGTGTTTTTGTTCAAATTTTGTCGTTGCCCTTCAGAGCGTTCTGTCCAAAGTCAAGCAAACAAAGGGAATTATAAAACTCGACTTAATATTATAACGTAGAAAACACGCAGAGCTGTTGACTTTGTGTTCCTGCCTTTGTTAAGTTATACTCACAGTTGATTTATGCAGTGGAGAAGAGTTAGAGTTAGCATGGGAAAGATCAGAGATGGCGTGGTGAGGCGAGGGATGGGATTGGATTGGATGGTGTATGGATAGATCGGTTAGAAGACATCACGACGTTACGAGTTCGTTACAGTTGAGAAAAGGAAAAACAGGGTTTTCGATATGAAATTAAATTAAAACCGAGCACGGTTCAGTTAGCATTGGTCGCGCAGACTTTCATTCGACTTTCTATATCGTTATTAACGTTAACTAGGCAGCAGTGGACATATAGAGGAAAAGACAGTTAGACAGATAGATAGATAGTAGTTGTTGGGTGGTTTGGTTTGTGGAGACAGAGCGGATGGGTTAAAGCTTGCGGTTGCTGTGGTGCCAGGAATTGCAGTTGTTGCACTAACTTCAACTTAGACCATTATGTTCGTATATTAATTTATGTTACGCTTAGCCAGCTCAATCTTTAGCTTTTTGTCTAAACTTTGCTTGAATCCACGCTTGATTTGCTTACATTTAAGACAATTGTCTTTGCATTTAGCTAGTTTAATTCATATGTATAATTTATTTATAAATATATATAGTAATATATATAACTGTTCCGATGCTGAACTGTTGATGCTGAACTGTTCTACATCGTCTCCTGTTGTTAAGAGTCGTCTTCCTTCGCGGGAGCCTCCTGCGATGTTGCTGCTGCTCCTCCATACTTCGTCCTTTCTTCCTTTTTCTTTTTATATGTGTGTGTTTGATGAAATCTTCTCCTAGCTTCTTCGTCCAGCTCTTCCTCCGCTTCGTCTCTCATATAAATATTTAATTTTATATTTCTTTATAATAAAATTATATTACTTTAGATTTGGTTTTCCTTTTGCTTTAAGTACATTAGGTATTTATATGTATGTATATATATAGTTCCTTCATATTTATATTTGTAATAGTAATATTCGGTTTACTGCTTTTGCTGCCGCTTAAGTACTAGAGAAATCTGTTGCTGTTGTGTTTTTTTGTGGCGTTTGCATTGTTAAATGTTAAATCTGCTCGTACATATATTAATATATAGTCAGATCGCCGTGTCTGGTGTCGCTTAAGTTTGCTACAAATAGTGCCGACAAAAAAGCTGCCTATCAAGGACCTTTTGGACTGCGGTCCTACTGGTCCTCGTACAGCCCCCAAAAATATGCCTCATCTTCTGCTGCGCGCCACATTTTTGGTTTTTAATTTAATTTTATATCGAAAATGTATTTGTAGTTGGTTTTGTTTTTTGTTTTTTTGTAATTTTTATTTGTTTTATTTTTTCTTTATATTTATTAATTTTAAATTTAAATATAATTTAATAAGAAGAATTTGTTGTTGTTTGATTTTACATTATTTATAATATATATATGTTGTATTTATAATATATTTTACTTCTTGTTTTTCTGACATGTCTGTGTGTGTGGGAGTGGGTGTTTATGTGTGTGTTCTGTGTGGGTGTGGTGTGTGTATGAGAGAGGGCTTGTGTGTGTAAAGTGTGTCTATATAAACTTTGCCAGTTTGCAAAAATTTCAAATATTTCTTTAACAGTTTTTGTTTTATTTGTATTTTTATTTGTTGTTTGTTTAGCTTTTATTTTTATTCTTTCTCGCAACGAAATCGACAAATTTTTCTTTATACTACTTTAAACACAATTTACTAGCTTACAGATTCGGGTTTTCATTTATTTTTTTTTAACTCGAAAACTTTCAAACAAAATGCAGCCGCTGCGCGCCGAAGTCGCCAGGTGGCGCGCTGACCATCATTGGTGGCGCCATCTATCGGCAATACTGGTGGATCTTGCTGCTTCTTGCTTCGCCCTCTGCTCGCCCTTCTTTATGCTCTTCAATTTGTTTAAGTGTAGTGATAGACTTGTTGTTCTTGTTATTCAAAACGATAACATGCGATTCTTGTTTGTTGCTGCTGGTTGTTGTTGTTGTTGTTTGTGGTTTTAAACGGTGACTTCATTAAGTATGCTGTTTTGGTTGTTGTTTTTTTTGTTGTTGCATTAAAATTATGTTGTTTTTTTCGTTTAACCTTTTCTCTCAGTTTAATGTAATTCTTTCTTTCTGAATTCTGGTTGTTTCATTTTTTGCTTGTTTAAATTTTCTTTTGCTTTTGCATTTTTTTAAGTGTAAGTTTCATTTGTTTTAAAGTTTCTTAAATGTTTTTTGCTTCTTATTCTTCATTATGTTGGTTGTTTTTTGCTTAACTCTTTGTTGTTGTTTGTTGTTTTTCTTTTAAGATCTTTTACTGGGGTCCATAGCAACAGCGTGGCGCGATGTTATTGCGCACAGCTACAGTCTTCGTCAACATCTTAAAAAAATAGAAAGGCTTAAAAAGAAATAATTTAACGCTTCACTTCGATGTCATCATAGTCACGAATTCTGCAAAGATAGAGAAGAAATGTGAATTAGTATGGGGTTTTAAAAGGAAATGCTTTAAATATTGTTTCAAAAATATATCTAAGATCTTAAAAGAACTCCAACTTATAGGTGATTCTCATCAAATAAACGCTTTTAGTAACTACTAACATCAAGGTATTGTTACTACAGCAAAAATTCCTACTGCTCCCAATTAAAAACTTTAAATTATATATGTCCCCAACTTAAATTGCACTCCCAACCACTTAGGCACCGAGTTGACACAAAATACAAAATTCACACAACAAATCAAGTATCGAAAATAGCTGAGCGCTGTCATTAACCTTCTACTAAATTAAGACGCCAATTAATCAATAGCAAACGAGCATTACACTATGGCTGCAACAGCAACAACAACAACAACGGCCACCTAATCAATAAGACAAACGAGCAAGTCACGAGATGTCTGATGAAAACACTTTGCCGCACAGCATACACACAGCCCCCGTCGAACCGAGCGTGTGTAGCCAAGGAAAATTTATTGAGTGCAAAGACTCAGACAGTCAATCGCCAGAGATTATGTACTCTCTTCGGTTCCCCATCCGAAAATAGAAAGCAGAGGATGCTGCCTGCGACGTTGGCAGCGACGGAAGCAGAGTGCAATAAAGACGTTGCCTCTTGCCGCATTGTTCGCGAATCGATGGGTAGAAACGGGATATATGTGTTCAAGAGTCTAGACTACAAGGTACCTTGCAACAAAAAGCGTTGCATACCTAAAATGCATCTCCCAAAATGGTTTAATATAGGTAGGTACACTATCTACAAGACTATTTATCTTTTGTGAAAAATATTGTAAGTAAGAGATACATTATATAAGGATTCCTGCTCTTAAAGATCCTGTGATATTTCAAAACTTTTTATCGTTTGTGAAAAATATTGTAGTTAAGAGATGCATTATATAAGGATTCCAGTTCTTATAGATCCAGTGATATTTCAAAACTTTTTATCTTTTGTGAACAAAATTGTAGATAAGAGATACATTGTATAAGGATTCCTGCTCTCATAGATCCTTAGATCTATGTATTTTTTTCAAACAAACTAATATTTTTATTTCTTCAAAAACCATATACCCTTCTTTCAACATTTACCCTTTTACCTACATATATCCCTTGTAAAAAAGAAAACTTCAGCATCATCGACTCAATCAATAAGGAAGAAAAAAGCGACGAGGAGTAGCACAGCCAACAGATAAACTGAAAGTCGGGGTCTTCCCGCCTGTATTGGTGTCCCCAATTTATCAGGTGTTTGCCTGTTTCTATTTTTAAAAGGAGAAAAGAAGAATTCTCGGCCGCTGCCTGCATCTGTTCTTGTTGATTGCACATCTTCGTCTCCCTGTCTTTGCAGTTGCCTAGGGTGATTGCATTTTTGAAATATTTAAACAAGAAGACAAGAGAGGGACACGAAAAGACATAGATAGGACAGGCAAATTGAGTGGGCGTGTAATTGGGTGGATTTCCTCGGGACCAATGGTCAAGAATTTATAGGTAACATACATATGTTTGCCAAAAGCAAGAAATAAACGTCTTTTTCCGGGATTGCAAAACCTAATTTGGCTACAGGACACTTTGGTCAAGGGTTTATAAGTATTATGAAGTCAATTTATGATAATATTCAAGGTTTTATCTTTACTTTACTAATAAAGTTTAATAGTTCTCAAGGAGTATGTTTGATATATGCCCAAAACTTAATTTATGAGCACATAGCTCTCAGCAATTTCTAATTCTCAGACTTCTACCAATCTATCTAATCTTTTTTCTTGCTTAGCTTACATTAAACAAAAAAGTGTGGACCAGAAACGTGCTTATCAACCACCTTTAACAATCGATTGCTATATCTAGAATATGGGAACATTTAACCTGACGTTTATAGGATTATTATTCCAGCTAGCACCACTAAAAGTGCCAAACACACCTTTGATAATAAAACTAAACCCTTTCGCTGGTCGTAAACGGCTTAAAAATAAAATGTTATTAGCTAAAGTTCAGGCAACGCCCGGAAAAGGGCTAAGCCGTATGCAAAATATACAAGAATCGAAATCCACGTGGGGTCGGCCTTGACATTTGCCCACATGCAAATGCCCAAGTTTCACTTCTTTGATTAAATCTTCGTCCTAAAACATCACTGCCCCCACTTGGGCCACGCCCCATTAGCTGGCCAGTTATGTGCACTGAGAATAAAAGTTAATATATTATAAATGAAGAAAATTTTGCGTAAAGCACTAATATATAAATAGAGTCTTTATCTTCACATTTTAGTTTCTCTAAAATATTAATCGCTAATATATTTGTACTTGTGTTTATATCATATTTAACTATTTATATCATTATTTTTTATAATATATTTTTTTGTTCAGTGCTCTTTTCATGGATAATAGTTTGTTGATGACCTTTTGTGGGCTTGGTTTTCCTGTTTTCCCGCTGTTAGATAAGACAATTAAAATGAAATTAAGCCCGATCGAGTTGCAACTTTTTTTCTCTTGGTCAACAAAACATTTTAAGCAAATTTTCTTGGATTATATATTTTAGAGACCCACCAGCCCCCGATTTAGCCGCAATACCCCTCTCATTACGTCGTTTGGCGTTTTTGTGGTTCTGCTGTTTATCTTTCGTCGTTTTGTTTACATTCGCCAAACTTACTAGTTCTATCTTTGCTAAGGTATATTATTTTCTTTTTTTTTTAGCTAATTTTGGAATTCATCTTCCTCACCCCTCTCTGCGCACACACATTGGGATGTGTTCATTTAATTTTCCTCGCCCCTGTGCTAATGTTTAATTTGTTGTTCTTTGTATTTTGTTTAACATTTTATTTGATTTTCGACTGGTGCTTCTTCTGGCTCTCGCGTATCTGCCGCCGATCCCTTTGCACAGCATTTTTCTATCTGGCACTTGGCCAAAGTAAGTCTCATCTCATTCCCATTCCCATACCCATTCCCATTCCCCAATATCTTTCTCTGCATATTCATTGTTTGCGCCATATAATTTTCACTTGCAAAATTACCGAAGAGTGAGAAAGTGCGGGGTGTTTTGGGTATGGGGATCGAGGGTGATCGGGGGTGATTGGGGGTTATACCCGGCACACTGTATAGCCGGCAAGACAACAATAAAGACTTTGGTTAATTGGCAACAAGCAAAATGGCAACAATGCGCATTTTATATTTACGTTATGCTGATTCCGCTGACTGAACGAAAAAACACGGCCAGTCGAGTGAGATTCATTCGCTCGGTCAATGTTCATGCCATCCCCTATATAACACCCCAAATTTCCGACCCCCCAAGTCCCCAAAAACCCCCAAACCTCCCTTCAGAATCCACAAGATAATGTATGGGGAAATTAAAGAATATTGCACAATATTTATATATTTTATTTTAATTGTTGTTTCCCATTCGCACTGTTGCCGTGCGCCGCGAGCTGTGTGCTGTTCGCTGTTTGCCCCGGCAGGTTAATCATTTAAGTGTGGAATTTACGCGCGACATTTATTTTGGCTTTTAAAAACATTTCAATTTTGGGCGGCAGAAAAGTGGCGAAAGGCATAAAAATTGCTGATTGGGAGCAGGCACAGGAAAAGTTTAAATGTTGAGTGATATATGGCAGGGGAATGATAATTTGGAATGTTTTAAAAAGGCTGGATTTTATTTACCATTTAATGCATTTTTTTTAGTAAACTTATTCCGAAAAATACTGGAATAAGTTGGACAAATCATTATCACCTGATTCTAAACTACTTGAGGTTTCTGCCAAATCCACCTTCCTCATAACAATTAGATACTACTATCTGACAGTTTGAAGAACCATTACAAATACCCCACTTCCTTATTATCAACTAATCCTACTTTTCACACCCTTTATCAAGAATCTATTAACAAATTTCACTGTAAGTACTTTTAGATAATGATTATAAATGTAGATCATCATTCTTCGGTTCGCTTTTGTTTAAATTATATCCCTATTTTTATGTATTTTGTTCATAAATTACTTGTGATTAATCTATTTGATCCGAGAAATGCCTCGGCGGCAGCCAAAAACGATTTCTATTTGAACTTGAAGATCAACATATAGTCAAATACATATGTAGGTGGAAATACTGTCCGATTTTAATTGCTACTTTTCCCGGTCTCTATATTGTGTGCCCAAGAACAAAAGGAATTTCGCGCAGACCCATGGGAGTGGGAGGATATGCCCTGGGAGATCTGTTGAAAACTTGCGAGGATTTTTTCGCGTTTTCAAATTTGTTTCATTTTCTGTTTTATTGTTTTAGCTATTTTTATATTCCCACTCTTTTTTTTCGCTAGCCTGTTGTTTGCTCAATTGAAAAATCAATTTTCAAGCAATTAAAAAATTACAAAGAACACAAAACACGAAAATTTCAAATAAAAATGCACTGCACATGGCGAGAGATATTTGTTTTTTATCTGTCTCTCTATATCTTTATATATAGATACATACGGCTAGCACTGAAAATAGGTATTACTATAATGAGTCAGGGAAGGGGGCGCAGAGAGATCTGGTTAATTAGCAAAGCCATATGACACAGCCAAGTGGCAATTGTGACTCAAATGCGATACCCGTGATTCAATCGCTGCCGCTGTTGTTTTAGTTTCTCGACAGGTGCTATAGACAGATCCAATTAGGGTCCAACACGCGACCCACAAAAACACCATTACAGCGTAATGTAGCGTAAGTTACACCTTACAAAATCAATATGTCGATGCAGATTATTGGAAAATATTACCCATATTTCATCATTTCATTATGTACTAAAAAAAAATCTTGCTAAAATGTTGTTCGGTAAAAGTTATCTTACTATTTCTCATTCTGTTTTTAGGTACCGTCATGTGTCGTGAAAAAAATACTAGTTTCTAGACTGTTTTTTCATGTAGTTAAATATTTTAGGGCAGTAATTTATCGGTTAAAAGTTGTTATAACTTTTTAAACCAAACAATCCATAAACTTATTTTTAGTTTTCTTTGATCTATTTCATAACTTTTACTACACTTTGTGGAATTGCTGAAAATAAAAGGTATTTCCTTCGAAAAACTTTAAAATTCTTAGATTTCCAACTAAAACCGTATAAATTTCAAGACTAATAGACTATGAAGACCCTGGATCTCAGCATTTACAATAACTTTGGAACTGTAAAATTGTCTCTGATTTGTTTTAGAAACCTATCTCCGAGATTACTCACCTTCGTAATTGACCTGACCGTCACCATCGATATCAGCCTCACGGATCATCTCGTCGACCTCCTCGTCTGTGAGTTTCTCGCCCAGATTTGTCATCACGTGACGCAACTCGGCCGCCGAGATGAAGCCGTTGCCGTCCTTGTCGAACACTCTGAAGGCTTCCCGGATCTCCTCTTCGCTATCGGTGTCCTTCATTTTGCGTGCCATCATTGTAAGGAATTCTGGGAAGTCAATTGTGCCGTTGCCTGTGCGGAAATCATAAAGAATAACAATTAATTTCGTTGCATACTTTGTGGGTGGGATTTCGGGGATTCCATCTCCCCACCACCCTCATACCATATACCATACCATCAATTTAAATTCCTCCCCGGAGCGTTATAATAAATTCAAGTCAGGGATAAAGGCACCCAGCATTTCTCATCATTATGGCCAAGTTTGCTCTCCATTCCAACGCCTTATATAAAAACGAGAATACCCCGGGGCTGTGTACACTACTTAAAGCTTTTCATCGTGTTGCCTTTTCGACGTTGGCAAATCCCTGGGAGGTGGTGGTATATAATCGAGCATATTTTCATATTTGCCTAAGCCCCAAACAAACTTTCCTAGCGGGGCCCAAAAGACGCCCGCGTGTGTGGACCACCCACCTTGTAGAGGTGGAGTGCGAGAGATAAGTCCGCCTAATCCCATTTCTGTTGAATCACTCTCTCTTATCTAGCTCCTTTATCGCCTGGCTCAGCCAAGTGGAATGGAAATTTGTTAAAGAATTTAGCCAAACATTTTCCTGAGGTTATCCTCTAAGTGAAACGCAAATGAAGTGGTCCCACCGAAATTCTTGTTATACTAATTGAAAAAGTTTCGTTCGTCGGCTTGACTTGGTTTTAAGTTGAAAATAGTTCTTATTTTTTGGGTGTGGAGAGGGGGAGGGCGCACATAAAGGCAGCAACAACTTTTGGCCTTAATTGTTATTGACTGACTTTTTCAAGCCATCCCGAAGAGCAGGCGGGCATGGCCAGAAGAGCCTTTTGTCCATAAAATGGAACAGAACAGTATAAAATGTTTTTCAGTTTTCCGTTTTCTGCTACCCTCAAAACCAAATGGAGCGTGGTTCATTGTGGCTATCATTTTGTTTCTTGTGAATTGAATGTGTTTTTTATTACTTTGCTGGAAATGGTTTTTCTGTGGAGAAAACTTTCAGTATATGATTGCTAGAAACGCAGAGGTTCAAGCTCTTTTTCAACTTTGGCAAAAACAAAAAATGCTCTCCCAGGGGCAATTTAGATTTAATGATGGAGATAACATGTCAGAAACTTTGACCCCAAAAATAAGTTTCATAAAATAAAAAGGAATGAACTCTAAAACACTCAAAGCCCAAAAATAAATAATACGTTTCTACTTTATGGCGCCTTGAAAATATTTGGTTTATAAAACGATTTAATTGATTTAGCACTCAAGTTCAAATGAGCAGAGAAAATCTGGAGGCGATTCCATTTCAAAATAATTTGCACTCAATTCTTAAACTTCTGGGGAAAAAAATTAAGTACAATTTGGGCTAATTTAAGTATTATTATTATTCAATATGACCGCATTGAAAGCCAAAAATATATATTTCGAAAATAGCCAAAGAACATTAAATAAAATATCGACGGGTGGCTTTAGTTCATTCCGATTTGTGTTGCGATTTCGATTTCGGTTTCGGTTGTTTGGTTGCTTGTTGTCTTGCCTCCGTTTCTGTTTATGATTCTATTTAAAACATTTGACGCGATTTTCTGTTGCTTTTGGCTTTGTCGATAGGATTTCCCCAAAAAAAAAACAAATACCAAGGAAAGCCTCCACCACCATACACACAAAAGTACATATTGGTATGGGGCGACAGACAAAAGCATTGAGAAATTTGTTGCCATTTTTGTTAGACGCTTCTTAGACTGGCCCGAACGAACGACTTTGACGAACCGGCGCAGCCCAATTATGATAATTATGATGTTCATCGCGCTGCCGATGGTGATTATGATGATGGCCAGTGTCTGGCGGGGGTTTCGGTTTCCATTACGTTTTCCTGCCAATCCCGCCCCCACCACTCCCACTCCCCCTACCCCTTCTGCCGATTCGCAACGTTGCTCGCAAAATTTTGCAGACAATTTACAATTTTAATAAGTTTTTTTTTCGCGCGCAGTGGCATTGCTAAATATAGTTTGGGGGCATTTTCCATTGCTCTATAGAAATGCAGTCAACATTTGTACAGTTCTAAATTTATTGCAAACCAGACAAAATTGCACAGTAAGGGGTTAACTCCTTACAATATTACTGGCAAGCGTAAAAACATTAAAGACAGCTTTTTTTTCTAGCTGTAAGTTATAATTTCTTAAAATTTGATGTCGTCAGAACAGTTTGAGAGAACCATTCCATTGCTTTATAGAAATACAGACAACGTTTGCACAGGTCTAAATTTATTGCAAACCAGAAAAAAATTGCATGGTAAGGGGTTAACTCCTTACAATAGTACTTGCAAGCGATAAAATATCAAAGAAATTTTTTTTTCCCCTAGCCATAAATTATTATTTCCTAAAATATTAAGTAAGTCATAACTGTTTAAGATAACCTTTTTAATAATTTTCAATTTTTAATGGAATAGAATTTATAATTCTAGATTTGGTTAACTTGTAATCTCCATTAAGTGTTAGTAAATATACATAACTTTTTAGTACATATTATTTAAGCTGTTAAAAATAAAACGTCTACTGTAATGTGTGCCTCCCAATGGATATTTCCAGAGAAAATAATACTTTTCCTTTTGCTAAATTTCATTTATATTTCTGGACAATCCCATTGGTACCCCTTCCCCATGTCGACAACTAATGCGGTCGTTTGCATGCAGTTCAGATACTCAGAAGCTGGCAGTTTGGCCATCGTCAACTGCCTGCGACGAGACGCCAACAAAATTTTAAGTAATGAATGTTTAATGTTTCCGTCAGATTCCTGCCTGCCGTGGATTCCTGCCAACGTGAGTGTGAGTGGGCCATGTGAGTGGGTGATTCGGGTTGCCAAGTTAGTTTCGGCCAGCAAATGCATTCCTTTGTGGGATCGTAAATTAGAGGAGTCCGTCATCAGCAGGGGGAACAACTTTATTTTTTCAAGTAATTTAAAATACTAAACGCTGGAAAATAAAGTTGCCAAAACATTTTGCTTTCCACTCAATGAAAAAGTTTTGCACATATGCAAATTCCAGCGAATAAAGTTGGCAAAATTGTTGGGGGCTCCCGAGTGGCGACCCCCTTTGCCATAAAGCAAACTACTATTTTTAGCCCTGATAAACACAGTACATCCACCCTCCTTCCCCGTTTGTCTAAAAGCCCCCCTGCTTTTCCTTGATTGCAACACTTTAACTGTTTGGGGGAAAAAAGAAGGAAATTGTGCGAGAGTTTTCAGGGCGCCTGCGCTCCAAATTCTGTGCAGGACTTTGCAGATTTTGTCCTGGATATTTTCGACAACATGCGCACAGCATTTCCACGTGCAAGCGCAACAGCAGCAACAACAAACAGAGGAAAACTCGCAAAGAAAATGGAACTACGAAAACAAATACAAATTGGGCGGGGACAGTTACAAAACGTATGAAAAACTATGGTGAAAAGTTAATTTTTTCCATAAATTAACTTGTTACGCACTCTTTTTGGAAACAAAATTTCAAAACAAGGTTCAGGAAACATAAATAAATACCTTAGAAATATCTAACATCTTAATTAACATATAAGCCATCATCTTACAAGGAACTAAATAAACTTAGATACTTGGTAAAAATAAAATATTCTATAAAAAAGTCCCTTTTCTATTACATTTTCTTAGTATTTAAAGAGTGGAAAGCTTTTTATTTACTCCACACATTTGCAGCAATCTAGTTTTCCGTCAAAAGGTGAAAAACCTCATGCTATAAAAATGGGCGACACATTTTCGATTTTGCTACATTTTTGGCGCGAGGCGCCTGCCGCTCGATTTCCTCTCGCAACAGAAATAAAAATGGATCTTCTTCGTCTCCCGAAAAAGTTTGTTACACTAAAACTTGTCCGAGATTTTGAGCTAAGCAAACAACCACCTTTACTCAAAAATTCAAAATAAAAAAAAAAAAAAATACCAACGGAAAACAAAAAATTCTGACAGCAGCGGCTGCCAAAGACAAGATACGGGAAAGAGCCAAAATATTTTAGTCATCTATTTTTAATGCCTATGACGTGTTTTTGTTGCATATTTTTAGCCAAGAAATGATTTTCATTTTTTTCCACCCATTGTTTGTCGTACAAATATTGGTCTGATCTATGTCTGTCTGAGAAATGAGGAGAACGGAACAAGTAAGAGGGATTAGGCCCAGAACAGCAATAGATTGGGGTAAACAAAATTAGAAACCTCGGGATCGGGTTAGTAGGGGATCTCGCCAGTGTTTTTATCACTGGTACCGAGCGGAACGACTGAAACCATAGCAAATCAGATTATTTGCACATGTAGCCCAAAAGCTTTAGAGTCTAACTTCATCAAGTCGTATAATTTGTGGCTCTAAATAAATTAAGGGCAATTCACGTTCCTACAATTTATATGAAGTGGTTGAAAATACAGAGAGAGTACTTAAAACGTCTTTCGATTGCTTTCACAAATGTAACTTATACTCTGCTAACCAATGTAACCAGTCCGCGAATTCTTTAGCACCATCCGCGAATTCTTTAGTACCATCCGCGAGTTCTTCAGATTTATAAGTTATATTCGTTAGTAGGTTGCGAAAACATCGCTGGGCTGACTTGATATTTATTATAACACACCAAAAAATGTTTGATCTAATATTTTATCCATTCTTGCCAGACTTTTTTTTAACTTTCCCCAAACTTACCGTCGGCATCAACCTCGTTGATCATGTCCTGCAGCTCGGCCTCTGTGGGGTTCTGGCCCAGGGAGCGCATGACTGTGCCCAACTCCTTTGTTGTGATGGTGCCATCGCCGTCTTTGTCGAATAGCGAGAATGCCTCTTTGAACTCAGCGATCTGTTCCTCTGTCAGCTGATCGGCCTGTAAGAACACAAATAAATACCGCATTAATTAGATGCACAACTTTGAGATCCAGACACACCATTATCAATTGTAATTAAACCTTTCTCTACAAATTGTTTACAAAATAAATATTACAGCTATTGACTATTCTACTCGACCCAGGTGGGTTTTTTGAAATACTTTTCAACGAAATCTCGATTGCATTTCAATGTCAACATGGAAAACTACCAAAGAATACAATTAGGGACAACAAAAGACGAAAAAGGAGAACAATTGTGTTTAATTTGAATAATTTTGCGTATTGTTTGTTTGTCGCAAGGCAAGTCGCCCAGATACAATTGTATCTGTATCTATGCACGGGTATCTTGAAAAAGGTGTTAAGTTTCTGCTGAATCAACAAAATCTGACGTCAGCGACTGAATAAACAAGAGGCCAGGGAAGCTCTGAAGTAAAGAGGAGTGGTAGATGGGAACCGGCAGTAAGACACCCAAAACCAAAATTTATTATTGTCATGCGAGTGATGTATATGCGACATGAGACGTGCTAGTTGTCAGGTTCAGGAGCCGGTATACCCACTATAGCGAAAAACGATCCTCAAAGTCTAATGTTCTAATGTTCGAGCAACAAAACCAAAACCGGGCGTATAAAATTCCCGTTTGCCTGTTATTGTTTTATTGCACATTAATGTTTATTTGGGCAACTCGCTCTCAACTCTCCGATAAGCTCAAAAATTTAACGAGTATAATATAAGGCCTGGTTTGACTTGCGATAATTATTATTAATCATGAAACAAAAATGCAAAAGCAAACTTTGCCTGCGTCAGAGGGTAACTTATATATATATTAATTTGTTCAAGCTGATAAGTGTTGAAAGATGGAATATGTAGCAACAGTAGTATATAAACGATTGTTTGTCTACCGATCCTATGTAATTACAACTTAATTTGCCTCATTGCATAAAGGCATCTATCGCTCCCATCTATAGTTATTCCAATTAAGTGGTGGTTCGAGATCACCACAGTTGAAAACAAAGCATGCCTTTGTGAATTTCCCCAACACGAACCCAATTCCCCTATCTAATCACTTTTGTACAACCAAATTAAGAACCTTTACTTGAAGGCCAAATCGTATTCCTTAAAAATCACACGCAAACTGGGCTCTCAGACATGTTGGCCAACCTTTATGGACAACTTCCGTTGGTTGGAACAGAAACCAACTTAGTTAAAGCCAAATCAGCAATTGGAATTGGAATTATAGCGCCCTGCTTGACCTTATCTAATCGGGGAATTTCAGTAAATTTAAACAGCAAATAAGAGTACATTTGGTTTGCTGTCGCGTTGGTGGCACCTGTTTTTTTTTCATTTTTTTTTACTGTGCGTTGGCGTTCAATTGAATTTGCCCAGCTTATCGCCTCGGTCTGAGCAGATAAAACGCTTTTCAACTGGGTTATGTCATTGGCAGGCGTGACTAAGCCAGAAAGACCTATCGAAGTTCAGATCCCCGCTAAAAAGCCGATTGAAGCTCTCTTTAAATGGCGACAAATGCAAACGACAACAGACCCCACCCACTGATATCCATTAATGGCAGTGGCAGTCAATCGAGGGGGTTCGATGCCTAATTGGTAATCCATTTGTATGCACAATCAGACGCCCACGGCATCCCGAGGAAGTTTCTATATCAAGGCAAATACAGTGCCTTCCGAAATTTAATGCCTTGGAGCAGGACTCAAGCTGGGCGTATTTATCAGGCTTATTTTATTATTTTTATGGCGGTGATTAATGTGCTGCGAAATCAGAGCTTGACCTCATAATCAACCAAAATACATAATTCCAACTTAAATAATCACTTATGATTAAGACAAACTTAAGACGAACAAATTACTTAGTCACAATTTTTATAAGAACTCCAAAAATATAGTCATAAGATTCCCCAAAAAAAATTAGCTCATTAACTTCTTTACGTACTTTTTCGACCCTAGTAGTTTCTGTGTACTGAGCCATTTTAGGGTTTAACAGTAATGCGAAACTTAATAGATCTACTTACAGATCAAGCTAATATTTTATTTCAAGAAATTTACAATACATTTTAAACTAAAATTGGAATTTTTTAAATCTTGAGTTATTTAGTCTGATTTTTTAAAGAATTTCTTTAATTTCCTAATTAATTTAATTTCTCTACATACTTTTTCAATATTAATAGTTTCTATGAACTGAATATTTTTTGGGTTAAACATTAAAAGAGCAATATAATATTATATATATATTTCAGTTTTTACACTATCCCAATCTTTATAAAATTACTCTTAAAGAATTTTGACTGTGAATACAACTCGAAACCAGTCTTAACTGGAAATTTATGTTAAAGCCAAGTTTGCCGGTTTACCGTTGTATTGTCCACTCTATTCTTTATTTTTTTGCCGGTCCCAACTGGTTTCGTGAGGTTTCAAGGGGTTTAGTTTGGTTTTATGAATGACGATCAAGTTTGGTTTTTGGGTACCATTTCAGTGCATCCGAACCGAGGTTCAACCAACTGTGCTAACTGAGCCAAAAGCCAGTCATTTGCCATTTTTAATATGCCACTCACATCATCGGGGGTATTCATCATAAGCCATACATATGATCGATGAAGTCAGCCCAAGAACACAGTGACTCATTGAAATTTATATGGATGTTAGCTAATTTCCCAACGTAAAACCAATGAGAGAAGATATTGTACTACAGAGATTGCTCATAATTAGCCCAGCTAAAGATCAACAAACTTTGAAGATCAGTCAGCAAATGCAAAAACCCTTGGCAAATGTTTGTTTTGGGCCAAGTTAGCAGTCGAATCACAGAAACAAATTGGGCACGTACAAAACGATGCGATATATTTTAATTAAAAGCTGTTTGCATTCTGCGTAAGCTGTAAAAATCGCTAATTAAATTAGGCGACGCCAGATGAGGCTAAAAAGAGGCGGACGTTGGGTGGGGCGATAAAGTGGGTGTGCGGTTTTCTTATCAAAAGGCGCAGGGAAAACCAAACAGAAAGAGAAGAAACCGAAGAAGAAGAAGAAGGTGCCAGAAGAGGGCGACAAGAAAATTGGATTATGTGGTTAAGCGGCGTCTAGCAGGAATTTTTCTTACTCTTCACTTGCAGCTTTCCCCATTCCCCGCCATTCGCCTGTGCCGTTACAATAAAATTCTTGTGCGAAAAGGCAAAGTGGAACAGGCAGCCGCCAACACACACACACACACTCATCACTCATATATACACGCATACGAATACCGCGAGCCGAACGAATGAACGAGCGAAGCGGACGAACAAAGACGAAGGCGAAACAGCAAAATAACCGCAATGCGGCAAATGAAACGGTTATGGAAGAAAACAACAAAAGGCAGGCGTCGATAAAAGTGCCAAGCGCAAGGCGCAAAAAAAAGCTGAAATACTGAAAGAAACGGAAAGAGAGAGACGCAGCACAAAACGGAACTGATAACGAACACGAAATAATTGCACACAGAGAGAGACGCGAAAGTGTGTGAAACGGTTTTGGCGAGAGAGAGAGAGAGCGTCGAAACGGTTAAGATGAGCGGCGAGTGCGCAAGTGAGCAGAGAGCAAAAAAGAGAGAGCGCAGCGCGAAATTCCGCTAAAGAATTTTTTCACCATTTCCATGGGCCGTGCCTAACCTCAATTTTTGCGGCCAAATGTGCGGTAAATAAAAAATACAACCAGAAAGCGAACAACGAATGGCGGGGCAAGGCGGAGAGGCCGATAATGCCGGCCCCGGCAACTTTGTTGTTCATCAATATATATTTGTGCATATATACATACATATATATTCACGCATTTTCCACTGATAAGCAAAATGGAGGGGGGCTTTTTCTATAATTTGCGGGGATCTTTGAAAAATTGCTGATAAAAGTGCCGATGGCAACGCGCATGTGTGTGTGCTTGTGTGTGCATAATGCTCAACAAATTGGCTAAAATCACATTTGATTTATGATCCTGGGCTAGAGGGAAACTAGGGAGGTCGGAAAATGAGGTGTTTGCTCGAGATGCTGATAAGAATTTCCACTTTTCCACGCCTGATTGGGTTTCGAGGGGTTATTTTTCGGACGTCATGGAATTATTATAGGGCGAACCCGATCGAGAGTCAACATTCCGTGTGCGACAGCCTTGGTAAAATAATAATTTTGACGGTTGACGTGACAAGTGTGTAAATTCTTACTACTTGACATTGCTATTTAATTGTACTACTTGTTTTCAGCGACCCCCCGGGGTAAAGTTCAGCTTTTGATACAGCCAAGATGGTTTACAATTTTTAAAAACCGAATAGGTCTACCCATAGTTCATGCAACACTTTAGGAAAATTACAAACATAAATTATAATTTAAATGTATTTTTGAAGTCAGCAAGATCATATTGCCAAATTCCTCTATTTTCAAATGGATAAACTATCAGTTTGCAAGGAAAACTATTAAATGCCTTTCGTTTACAATGTAAGTATGAACATTTCCGAAATCAGGACTATAAACTATCGTGTATTTGCTAATGGGTTATAAACTACCATGTTCTTGGGGGTGCATTACGCTCCAATTTTTTTTTGGTAAAACAACGATATTGGGTTGTAGAAAAAACCAGTTTTTTCTACCCGTAAGCATGATATATTTTTGGGGTGCGAAATGTAAACGAAATTCCCGGGGACAGCTGCTTTTCGACGGGGTGTTTGGGGTGTATACACATACATATAGGTGTGTGGAAAGCCGTTAAAACCATATAAACAACATCTAATTGGAAGCCATTCGCCCCCGTCCCGCTCGCACCCATGGCAATTTGCCCTGGGGGTCGCTGTCTGACTTTGATTTTTCGCAAAAACTGTGGAAATTTCAATGGAAAATGATGGCCGCACGTTGTGTAAACAGAAAATAAAGATGCACATGTTTTCCCCAGCCATTTTCCAGCCCCCCCATAAACTTACCATTTTTGTAGGTGTTTTTTTTTTTTTGTTGCTAGAGTGACGAAGTTTTAATCCGCTGCGGCTACTGCTGCTTGGGTGTTGGTATGTGTGTGAGTGGAATTACGGAACGCGCGGTAAACTTAACTTTTTTCTTTTACTAATTAACACACTGCAAAAGAAGCAAGAAGAGAGGTTTGATGGGTATTACTTTTTTGGGGTCGGTCAGCTGGAAGAAGAGGAAGCAAACTGCCAGCTTGGTGAGGTAAAAAAAAAATCATCATAAAAGCGTCCAAAGCAGCGACGCCGACACTTTTTTTTTCCTCGCCGTGGCAGTTTCTTAAATTCTGTAGTGTTGTTGTTTCAGCCGAATTTAATACAAATTTTCGCCTTGCGTTTCTTTCTTTCGGTTTTTTTTTCATTATTTCTTTTTTTTTTCATCTATTGTGCGAAATATGCCAAACACACGCGCGCACACGGCAGAATTCCCGTTTTATATAGTAGATATGTGGCGGGGAGGCGCTAATACATATAAGAGTTGCTCGGATTTGGTTTTTATAAAGATATTGGTTTCATTTTTTTTTTTTTTTTTTGCTCGTTGGTTTGCTTGATTATAAGAAATGGGCTTTTCCGCGAAACTTTCGCAGCTCCTGGTCCTTGGGTGGTGGTGTGGCTACAGCTCTAAACTGCTCTATATGTACTATCTGGTTCTGTTCTGGCAACTCACGATCCTAGTCTGAATTTCCGTCCGCAACGGTCGACGAGTCAAAACTTTGTGGGTGTTCGGAATAGCTGCGTTGCCATATATACGGTTTTATTTTCCCCGATATCAAGCAGCAGCAGCAGCGACGGCGCTCTCTCTCGCGCTCTCTCCCGCACTCGTTCGTTTTCGTCTCTTGTTTTTGGTTCTCTTTTCGCGGCTTTCTCTCTGTCTTTCTTTCCTTCTCCCTTTCCGGCGTCGCTGGCGTTTCTTCAAAAAACGTATTCGAATCAAACCAACTACAATTGGTAAACATTTGGCCTATGCGAAATTTGTCAGCAAACGTAAGTTTGAAAAGGCTGCAGCGGTGCTCTCTCTCGCCTTTTTCCGCTCTCGTTCGGCGCGAGAGCACGAACCGGTTAAGCTCTCTCCCGCCCGTTCTCTTTCCTGCAGCGTCTGCTGTTGCTCCGCTCCTCCCCCCTTTCTTGTAAGTCGAAAATAAATTCGTTTTTAAATTAACGGTTGCGCCGGCGCTTTGATATCGATATACCAGGGCTGCTATCAGTATTATCGAGATCTTTTTTGCCGGAAATCGATTTCCACGCTGGGGAAACGATTTGATCGACCTAAACCACAAGCAACCGCAGTGTTCTTGAGTAGTCACAAAAAGTATAAATTTTAATTTTTTCAAAACGATATATAACAATGATATTAATAAGATTTTTGGTGGATGAGGTTCGAACTTGCAGCCTCCCCATTGCCGGTTGAAATCACAAATAATTTTTCTTAAAATAAAAACCTCCACACAATCCGCGGTCTTACAGAAATCTCTTTCAACTAAATTAAATTCTATTTCAAACGGAATTCAGTTGGCAGGAAATGAATTGAAGTATTGCGGTCTATATCTAACTTTAATCCAAGAGAAAAATAAGAAAAAAATTATTTTATTGAGCTTCCCATACCGCATATCGCATCCGTATTCACCTCAAAAGATGTTTTAGTTAAGATGGTATTACTGAAATTTATTTGTATATTGGGCTTCTAAAGTACCAGGGCTTTATTCCTTCTTCTCTTCAGATGGTTCGATGCTTGCTCTTGCAGATGCCTTTTCTGGATATTCCTTTGTTGAAATCCCACTGACTGCCTGGCTGGACCTTCTTTCAGATGCCTTTGTTGGATCTTCCTTTGCTGAAGTCCTACTGGCTGCCTGGCTGGACCTTCTTTCAGCAACTATGGACTTCCTTTCTGAACCTATGGTTTTCGTATCAGAGAGGATCATACGCTTGGTACTGTACAGATCCCCGCTGCTGGCGCGCGGATCCCGCAGACGACCCGAAACACTCATGGCGCTGCGAGTGGTGATGTATGTGGTCGTCGGAGGAGGTTCTCCACGCTCGGAGGCCTCCTTCTTGGCCAACTCACGGCGCTGTTTTAGGGACAACCGGGCCTCCCGAACCCGCCTCTTGACCTCCCGCTCTTCGAAAGCATCGTCATCGAACAGTGTGTCGGCCACAGGACGCGTCTGCCCTATGTTCTTCTTTACATAGGACTCCAGCTCCTCGTCAGTCATGTTCTTGGTCTTGATCAGCTCAGTGAAGGCCATTTTGGCCTCCAGCTGCTTCGCCTGGGAACGTTTCAGGCGATAGAAGTCCTCTCGCTCGAACTCCTCCAGCTCCCCGCATATATAGTTGTAGGTGTTTTGCAGGATGGGGATAACCTTAAGTAAAGTGATTCAAAAATAATTGAAGAACCAGTTAACACAATGTAAGATAGCAAAAGCTTTTAAACCAAATAACCAAAAAATGGATGGAAAAAATGGATTAATTGAGTTATTTGAAGTACCATTGAAGAAGAATTCTATAAGTTTAAGACATTTTGCAATATATAGACTAATCAAGTAGAATGTTAGCCAAGGAAACCAATATTTTTTTTTCGAATATTGAAGGACCAAGAACACCAAAATTGACCCCCATTGATAGGAAAATCAAAAAGTTGTATCATTAAAGAACCCAGAACTTAAATGTAAAATATGTATCAAACCCATATTTACCACATGCTCCAAGGCGTTGACCCTCATGTTGGTCTGCAGCGAGGCTGCCTCCAACATGCGCACTTGGTATTCGAGGGATGCGTACGTCACCAAGGCATCGAGTGCCTTCGTATAGCTATCCCTGATCCGCTGAACCTGCATGCCACCACAACTGAGCCCAGCCAACGGAAAGGCTCCAATGCCCTTCTTCTCCAGCTCCAAACAGTTAAGTTTGACGCCCACAATTTTGATTTCCGTTCGGCGGAGATATGCGCTGGCCACATGGCTGTGGCTCACCATCTGCGGCTTGAAGTCGGCGCCCAGGAGATTGGCCTTAGCCATCGAGAAAATGGCCTGCCTCATCAACTCGTCTCCTACGACATCCTGGTCAAAGCGGATGCGCCGCAGCTCCCGCATCTTCATGTCGATGGCATCCCGCTTCCGCTTGAGGAGACCCACGCCCCTCCTGGCCGCCAGAACACGCTGCTTCATGATCACGGAATTGGCCCGGGAGGGAAAGACGGGCAGGATATCGCGTTTGGCCATTGCGGCAACTTTCGAAAGGGGTTTTGGGTCACGATGGGATGGGATAGGGCTGAATTTTGAACTTTTGTTACATCTTTTGGAAGGACTACTAAGATGTACATAGGCATGTTCATTAGGTCGGAAATTTGTAAGGTTTTGAGGGTAAACCTCACCTCCCGGTATGCGCAACAGGCATATGAAGATATTAAAATATTAAATATTATTATATTATCATTAATATATTAAAAAAATTAATTTTTAGGGTCTAGCATTAGCTTCAAAGTTATCACTCATACGCAATGTTGCTTTTGCTCAAAAGTTTCATTTTGTGCACACTTTCATAAACCATCTGAAGGGGTGAGAACAGGATTTCTTTTTTGAACTTTTGCATTATTAACAAAGCTAAATATATTCATTTGCCAGTTTGTAATATACTTTGATGATTCAACGTTTTAAATATATATACACAAATCATACATTGCACTAGTTTTATCATCCACGAACTGTTTTAGAGTTTACCAAAAATTAATTTTCAGAATGAATCATCTGTGCTTTGATTACGTATGCTTTAAATATTTTTATGATTAGGAATGGTTAAAAAACAACAAGCATTTTTAAATTAAATTAAAATTTTATAAAACATTTATTTTTAGCTTTTTTTAAAAATTTGATGATAAATTTTTTAAACTTTCATTTAGTATTATTATTTTTAGCTTTGTAATATTTAAGCAACCAATTTATTTTATAAACCTCAACATCAATATATCTCATACGCAGCGTTGCCTTTTAAATTATTTCTTTGAAACAAATAGCACATACGCAGTGTTGCTTTGTAAGTATGGGTCCAATCCCAGTTTAATTCTTTTTTATTAGATTTTCTAATCAGTCAATTGAGTAATAGATAAATCTGTAATATTCCCTAAGGCAGTCGAATCCTTATCGCCAGCCCAGGGATATTGGGCCACAAATCGCTGGTCAGCGGATGCGTGTGCCATTACAATGCGGAATGTATGGCCATTCCACTGGGATTTTGCACTGGGCATTGAACATGGGACACTGGACGGCGATTTTGCGCATTTTCGCATTTTCCAGCTGCTGCTGTACGATTTCCTTTGCCGCAGCGAATTGTCGCAATGTGGCGCCGTGTTGTGTTGGTGCAACGCAGCCTTGGCGCATTTGCAACGCATGCCAACAAGTTAAGTATGTTAACCTCTGGAAAATTAGACAAGCCAATGGGGATGGGGGGATAGGGCGTTTTCTGAGGGCTAGGTAGGGAAAACGAAAATGAAAATGAAGTAACAATGCAGCAAACATCGGGCCGGGCCAAAAGGGCGTTTGTAGTCGCCGTTGTAGTTGTCGTTGTCGTTGTCGCCTGGCGACGACAGCAATGCGCCATTTTTCGTTCGCCCCGCAAGACATGAAAATTCGGCTTTCCCCTCCTTCTCAGTATATATGTGTGTGTGTGCGTGTGTTGGGTAAACATTCTGCCAGGCATTTTCATTCTCTCTCTTGGATTTTCGCAATCGCAGAGGAAGCCCCACAAGTCGACCTTTCACCCCGCCAAAAAGAAAGACGTTGACAATGCTTCTCCCGAAATTTATCGCAATTCAATAAAAAATTCGTATGCAATTGTGTTACGTTTTATAGAATGATTAGATATAAATGTATTACCAAAATAAAACTCATACACAAGCTCTGAAGACATAATCACGATCTTAAAATTAAATTTAGTTTTTACTGCATACTTTAAGGCATTACATTTTAATTAATCTTTTTTAATAATTGACAAATAATAATCTACAAATTAATTTAAAATTTTCAGTTGTGTTTAAATAATATTTTATACATTTTAAAATGACTTATTTTTAAATGTTCAAATTGTTCTAATTTACTTATTAGTCAAAGTCCTAAAATTTTTATAAAAAAGAACGGCTTTTAACTATTTTACCTCTTGTAAGATAAATTGCATATTTAGAATTTGATATTTTTGTACTTATCTATAGAAATTTATTACATTTTAGTAAGAATTCTTCGTTTCTGTGCCAAAAACAAATGTGAACAGATGACAAGTGGCAAGTAAACATGACTTAATTGCAAGTAAACATTTGCCTTTTCTCTTATGGAATATTAATTTGCATACATGCGTACTTTTGTACATATGCTAAGCCATTTTGCGCCACAAAAGCTTGCTAAACAAACTGGCAAACAAAATAAGAGGTAAGGCAAACTTAACTTTTTAACATAAGTATGACATCCTCCAAAAAAGGAAGAGAAACTAAAGTAGTTGACATTATATTTGAATTTCTACATATAAATTGTACAATGTAGAAATAAGTACAGATAGAGTTTTCCAACTATTTTCCCTTCTTGCCCTTTCCCTTTCCCTGGCGCTTCCTCTTGCGCTGATCCTTCTTCCATTTGCGCCAGTATTTCTGGATCTTGGCCGCAGCCCGATTCATCATGAAGATCACTAGCTTTTGCTGCTGGATACGACGCTCTTCCTCCTCCCGTTTCACCACAATATTCTTGTAGACACGCTCCTCCTGCTTGAATTGGACCATAAAGTCGTCCAGGATCTTCTTGGCCACCAAAAACTG